TTAGCTGAAGTGAGAACATATGTCAAATGTGAAAACATCGAAAGGCACAAAGTTGAAACTGTCCAGTGTCCCGGAGGATTTTACGTGTACAGACCACTAGGTCATACTGCAAATGCTGGATATATAACATGTAAGAACAAATTCGATCCTCTTTACTTCCTTACTAATAATGAGTTGATTCCCATGATGCATGGTTTTGGTTGAGAAACAGTTTAGATTCTGCTATATCAACCAAACCCACTTATGTATGTAAGCCATAGACTGGGGAGAGGTGGCTTATAATACTTTTTTTTTTTTTTTAACCTTGTTAAAATAAATTGATGTATCCACTCCAACCTGCCATCTTGAAAGTTTGGTGCTGGCAGGGCAACAGACAGCTGGGCTGAATAATGTTTACTTTGTGTTGACAGTGGCTTAGTTGGTAGAGCATTGGCCTTTGATCCTGAAGGTCATGGGTTCAAGCCCACCAAAAGACCTACTTCATGTCTCCCACTGATGTCTGCTGTAGCTGTGTCCATGGGCAAGACACTTAACCACACTTTGCCTGAGGCCCTACTGAAAGATCAAGGCCCCTGTGGACTCACCACCTGCAGGAGGATCAGTGAGGGGCTGGTGCTCTGTGTACTGGGTGCAGCTCTAACCGCAACTTTATGACAAACTAGGGGGAAACTAGTTGGCAAGTTTTTGGGTCGAAACTTTTCCATTTTGCGTTTTTATTTTTTTAATCTCTATTTCCAATGGACAAATCTCTTTCCAGTTCTTTATCTGTAAAAATATATTTTTTAAAAAGTGTATCCTTTTCTTCTTTTTTTGATATTGGTATGTTTAAACTTTGATTGTCATTTTCAGGGCATTCTCGGTGCGAGCCTGGTTGCTGTGGCCCAGATGCAGAGTGCTTTGATTTTGATGGTTTTGGATTGTGCCGTTGTCTGCCTGGGTATGACCAGAAAAAGAAAACCCGGCCACCCGATGATAGACTATGCCTAGGTAATCATCCCTATAGCATATGAAGAAATTTAACAGGTCTCTGAGCATTTATCTTTTCACAGATATTGACGAATGTGAGGATGAAACATTGTGTGGTGCGGGAGGAAACTGTACAAATGTTAAAGGAAGCTACAACTGCACTTGTTTCACTGGATATGAACAAATATTCCCCTCTGACCCTGGGTCTCCTTGTCGTGGTAATCACTGGATTTTTCAACATTTTACGGATTGAACAGCCTTTTATCCATCGACTGTATCAAACCCACAATTTGTGTAATATCTGCATAACTGTCAACTAGGGCTTTTTCTTTTTGACAAATAATGCGATTAGATTGTAAATTCTTCACATAGGAAAGGATAACTTTGGACTCAAAGAACAAGGGAAAGGCAAAGACAATCCCTGCCATCCCATATCCCACGGTGCACATGACATGCAGAAACAGAGAGGCAGAGGAGGCTAAGAAAAGAATGAAAAAGGGCAACAGAGGAAGAACAAAATGGCATAAAACAGCTGCAGGAAGAACTAAAGCGAAGACTTTCAAAACTGTGACAGGGAGAAAATATAAGGTTGTTACGAAAGAATGTTCCAAGATCTGTTCAAGTTCATGAAAGGAATTTTCACAAAAGATTAAAATTATACCCTAAAGGCAAGAGGTTGAAGAACATCTTAGAGTGACATATACAGACAAATTGCGAAACATATCAATGGACCTCCCCCTTGACATACCCCCGATCTTACCTCCCCAACACGAGTTTGACAGCAGTCCACCCAAATTAAGCGAAATGAAAAACGCTGTGTGAAAGGCTTGATCAGCCTCAGCACTTGGACCCAAGTGTATAAGAATGCTTGAAAATAACATGAAAATAGTTCCAACAATTCAAATGAACCTTCACAATATATTAAATATTCTTTAGTGTCGCAGCTCAAAGATTAACAAAGCATTTGAAGTCCAATTAATTCATTGATAGACTTATACAAAAATCAGGAATACCAGGTTTCTTAGGCGGTCTGGAACATAAATAGTATCAAATTCAATCTGCCAAAGATGAACGAAAGGACTTGACCTGGCTACTGCACATGGTTCTGTGACTTATTCACCCCATGGACTGCACACAATTATTTTCAGATTCAAGGAGGATTAAAAATCTTGTAAAACTCTACTTCCAAGATCTAAAGTTATGCTTATCTACTCCAACATGGCAGACAGTGGAAAAGGGCATCATGGCAGGGTGCACTCTGTCAACTTTAGCCTTTACAATGGAAATGGAAATCATGATCAGAGCAGAAGGAACACATCTGAAAGAAGTTACTAACGACGAGATTCTATAGACGATATAACGACACTAACAACAACAATACCTTGTACCGGAAGTCTTGACAGCATCCATGCAGTCCATGACAGCAATGAAGATAAAGTCGAGTGCAGGAGAATGTCTTCCCACCATAGTACAAATTACATTTCGTACTAAGGTGCTCCATTAAGCTCCGTTAACAGGTGGGAGGGGTTAACTCCTTTTCCAGATTGAAACGATTGGATCTGAGTTTACCGTGACGTATACAATGCGCCCGAGTGAGTCGCTAGCATTTAGCCTAGCCATCTCCTTTGCCACTAACAGAGCCCGTGGGGAGTAGCGCCACAATATTTACCAGAGATTACATTTGCTAAACATTCCTCTTGCTCCTTCTACAATTTCTTGATAGAACCAGAACAGATTACTTTACTATTGCATTCTTCACCATTGCCAAAATACAACCAGCTAATTTGACAGCAAACTCTTGACGTCACCCAGATCTGATTGGTCGGATATGATTCAACCAATGTAATTTCAGACGCTTGGACTAGACCCAGACTTTACATGCAGGGAAATGATGATTGAGCGGAGTTTACGGATGGCTAAAGCCAGGCTAGAGCATGTCCATTGTGAAGGGACAAACCTCAGAGCAGCAATATATAGTTGATGGACTATTCCTATTCTAACAATTTCAGAATTGATAAAAAATGTTGTCATAAAATCAGCATGTTTACAGTAAGTCTCTGTAAGGTTCAACAAATTATCAATCCATTACTAAATTAGTAAAACATTTCAATAATCGATTAGTTGTGATTGATTAACGAGTTGCAACCCTAAAACCAACAAGGACTCATCAAAAGAGGGATGGGATTGACAACATCTGGTACAACAACGTTTTTTGTTTTGTATTAACAGATATTGATGAATGCTTGGACCCATTGGCCTGTGAAAACGCAGACTGTGAAAACAAGGATGGGAATCACACATGTAATTGCCATGCAGGCTTTTACCTCGAGCATGACATCAGCTGTCAAGGTCAGCTGCTCAATTTTTCTATAGTTTGCAAATCATTATAATTCAGTCCCCTATCGCAATTTTTAATTTCAGATGTTGATGAGTGTTTAACGGATGAGATGGCATGTGGTCCTAATAGCATTTGCAACAATACTGTCGGTGGGTTCGACTGTGAGTGTGAGGTGGGCTTCAGAGAGGACAGCCTAACAGTTTGTGTCGGTAATGTATACATTAAATACCTATTTATTTTAGCACTTCATAATTGCAGCGACAGAATATTACAAAATACTGTTTTTGTTGTTGTTGTTGTAGCTACATTTACACCTTTTTATAATCTTCATGTTTCTCTGACCTCAAAACACCCAAATAGTATTTTATCCCCATATTAACAAAAACAAAATTATTCATATATAATGCTCATGAAAGGAGCCAATTATCTTTTGCTGTACAACGAATCAATCAATCAAGATTTTTATTTCAAAACTTGTTCAACACAGGTGAACAAAATGACAGAATAACTTACAGTTTTGGAGAGGGGTGTCAAAAAGAACAGTACAAACGCACTAGAAATCAGTAACACAATACAATATCATGTGGAAGCAGACAAGAGCCATGACCCAGCTGTGAGTGTGTGTGATCAGAACATCCCCTGTAGTCAACCACCCTCCTAGCAGGAAATGGTTTTACGGCTATAGATAGATATATATTAGGTTTATGGGAGCGTTACACAACTTGCTATGTATGTATGGCTTGCTATCTACTTTTTTTTAAAGTAGATGTTTTTGCATATTTGACCTTGTAGTGGCTGTATGAGTCATCAGCATGGCAGCTTTGCTTTCCAACCAGTGGGGGTGGGTCCTGGCTCAAAAGTGGCCAAAATGACGTGCGCTGACATGCTTGCAATACCAATTTTTTTGGACCACTCCAGTTTTTTGAAGGCACTCGTGCCGGCTGATGCATGCGCAGATGCGTTTTTTCACAATTTTCTTGTGGCCGGGATTTGTTTGAACGGCGGAAATAGGCGTGACTAGGTTCGTTTATATTTACAGTCTATATTTCCAACAAGGTATTCTCCACAATGCTTTAAGATTAAATGTCTGGACGTTTTTTCTTTGATGGCTGACCCTCAAACAATTGATCCTGGAGCCCTTCTACTCAGACAATAGTTCTGTAATTACTTACAGGACCAAATAGTTTAAAACACAATTGGATTGATTTGTAATAAGCTAGCTGAAAATTTAAGTGAGAAAAATGTTATCTGCTGTCCCTTCACTGGCATTGGTTCATACTGTAAGTGTATCAAGTATCAGCAGATAATGAAAGCCAAAAGCATTGGAATCGGTACCAGACTTGTAGGAACTAAATCTAAATCATCCCTACATTTCATGTTCTGCTTTGTATAACAACACTATTTTAGATTTATTTGGTAATTTTTGAGTGAAATTACATTCTTTACAAATGCTTGGCAAGGATTGCAGCTGGTAATGTTCCACTATGAAATAAAGCAAAGCATCCACTGGTGGTAGTACAGGGATAGAGCAGGCCGATAGCATTATTTACCCTTAATACTTCATGCTTAAGATATCACTTCACATTCTAAAACCTAAAATGCTAATGTAAATGGTCTCATTATCAATTTTATCGGCTACAAAAATTGCATTATTTTTCTGCACATTTTTACTTTGTTTTGAGATATCAACGAGTGTATGGAAAACCGAACCCTCTGTGGCTCTAATGGAAAATGCATAAATGAGCCGGGCTCTTTTATTTGCGAATGTTTCCCTGGCTATCGGCTGGACCCTGGCCTGGACCCCTACCTTTATGACCCATGCCCAGGTTAGTGCTGTATATGACATTTCTTTTTGTTCTAAATGAAAAGGGTGTTGATCTTTCTTTACAGACATTGATGAGTGCAGTGAAAACCCAGATATCTGTATCCCCTTGTCGTTCTGTGTCAATAAACCAGGGACTTACACCTGTGCCTGTTCGGACAGATATTTTCCTTCTACTGGAATCATATGGACGCAGGATACAGTCTGTGAAAGTGGGATATTCAAGTCTCTGCAATTGTATTTTGTCTTCTCAGTATGTGTGTGTTCACTTGTATTCTTACGTTCTGCAGCTGTTGAAACAGTTTTGAACAAGCCCCACCAATTTGAGGTAATCACTGATAAAGATGCCCATTTAGCTGCATTGCATCAATTCACATTCAAAAGTATTTTAACCTAGAATACACGCACAAGTATTAAGAATTGTAAAACAAAATTTTTCCATGTTATTGAGTCCAAGAATTAATGATTATTTCGGTCATAAACACATTAATATAATTTTTTACAAAACAGCAACCTTACAGCAGACAGACCGAATTGATAAATCAGAATTTACAGAAGCAACTGTATAAGCTGAGGATTTTCAGATCATGCAGCCATCCAAAATTATAGTTTAAAACGTTTAGTGCAGAAAGTCTTGAATAAAGTAATATTTAAAAAATTACTTTTTGCCAGTAATTTATTTTACCTCCACACAATAATGACAGCTGTGAGACGCCGAACAAATTGGTCCTCTGATCAAACCTGCAGATTGCGATCAAAATTAATTATTGAACGTTTAATTGTCTGGCACCACCTAACATTGGACCAAAATCCCTCTGGGCACCCTTCTAACAATTCACATTATAGTTTGAAGAATCATGGGAGCTCATCCCCTGTGCGAGTTCCGCTAATCTTTCGGCCCCCATGGCTGTCCCATGCGCTACTGAGCACACGGATCACCAGGGCTGGCCCCAGACCCGACTTTTGGAAGCACTGCACTGCTCTAAAGTGAAAACAAAGAAATTATTATCAACAATTGTATTCAAATATATGTAAAGTAATTGTTTACAAAATAGTTTTAAGTCTGGCATAAACTGATTGCAGAAACTGACCAAAGAGAAGGCCTTTTTTGCAAAAATGGATCGACAACTGAAGGAGAATTCTGGAAAACCTATACATGAAGTGGTCAGTGTAAATGCATTTACAAAACTGAATGTATCAAACATGATTCTGGTTTTAAATAACTTTTGCGATATCATCTTGCAGTCTGTTGGAAACGCTTTCTCAACTGTTATGGTACCGTTTCATTTTTTGTCCTTTAATATTTAGAAAATTCCACTTTTTTGACAAAATAACATTCTATTTACCTGAATAGGAAGTTGCAGGTGTGGGTCCATATATCGACCCGCCCAAAGTTAGCAGTGCAGGGGATGGAGAGACCGGCAGTATTATTCTAGACTTGGCTGAAGGTTTAGTGGCTGCATTACTGGTGGACAAAGAAGAGCAGACGGCAATAGCGATAAAAACTCCTACTCTGGGTATGTTCTCCACTCTGCAACAGAACACAGTGCAATAATATGACTTTTTTAGACACTTTTCATCTGAATACAATTATTTGCTTGTCTGTTTTTTTGTTTTTATTTTGTTTTTTATTGGTGTCTTTGTTTGTCCCTCGTTGTTTGTCTTTTGTTTGTTCTCGCTCTGTGTTTTTTGTCATGCTTATACTGTATCTTTGTTGTTTGTCTGTGTTGATGTCTATTGTCTTTAAATACAAATTAAATAAATCTTTTGCTTGGACAAAATTTTGGAATTGTGCTTCTCCAAATGTTTTGTTGTGGTTTAAGTGTTACTTGTTTCCCTTGTTTCTTCCTTGGTTGTTGTTCCGGTTTTGTGATTACTTGCCCTGCCCTTCTGTGTATCACGTGGCTGTGTGTTGATTGCTCTGTGTGTCCTTGTGTTTGTAGATTTAGATGTGGTATTCCTCGGCCCAAATGATATCAAACCAAGCGGCTTCTCACTGGTGGCAGATGGAGTCACTGTAGCCATCAACTTAGAGCAAGTGGCCAACAACAACAATGGTACCATCACAGACAAGGACATAATAGAATAGGATATAGGAAACCTTCTCTTTGAACTGTCAGAAAAATAAACGTATTGCCATAGTAACAGTATGTTCTTTCACAGGTTCTGCAGCAGTGGCTTTTATGAAGCTCAAAGGACTGGAAAACCTCCTCACCCATCTCTTCTTTGAAACTGAAAACCTCACAGATTTTGGTTCGGACATTTTTAGTGTATCCCTCCCCACGATGAGCAACACCAACCTGTCTGACCCTGTCAACTTCACCGTACAACACACAAAGGTTTGAACTGTGTGTTTTACTATGAAAACGTGAATTTAAAGTGACTGATGAAGTGTCATTCAAATTGTGAATATAGAATTTTCAAACGCCCTAATCCATTTTGGAAAAACATTTCTGTTTTTAACTTACTTTGTGGACTTTTGTTTGTTATCCAGACGCTGCCAGAATCAGGTCTGATGACGTGCACATACTGGGTGTCTGATAAATCGGTAGATATTGTAGACGGTGAAGAGTCCAGTATCTATGGCCCTGGGCACTGGTCAGATGAGGGATGCTGGAGTTCATTCGCCAATGAAAACTACACCATTTGCTCGTGCTCTCATCTCTCCACTTTCTCTCTCATTATGCAAATAGGAGAGGTATGGACTAGATTATAAATAAACATAGCTTTCTATGAAAACAATATATTTGCAGAAGTGGCAAGTTTAAACTGCTTTATGGCATGACATAGAGTATGTCATGCCATAAAGCAGTTTAAACTTTAAATTCCAACTCAATGTAGTAATTGCTAGTCTATAAACTGCTACTTTTTGAAGTTCATTGATCTCTGCAATCTATTTTGTCCTGCAGCCAATGAATGCATTTATATTCTGTTCAGAAAGGATTTAGACTCTGATCTATCAGCGCCATGTGTTGAGTTGCACTATATATGTGGACAATATTTACTTTCTATAACACCCTTGTGAGTCCGTGTATTTTTTGTTCAATGTTTTTTTCAAATTAAAATAGAAAAGGAAATATCTTTAAATGGCTTGAATTTTCAAAAAAACTTCAACATGGCCCACTAAAAATGATTAAAAGTAGATACCCTAAAATACCCTAAATTTGGGTCTAAATGACCCAGGGCTGATCAAGTTACGATAAATTATCAAAATTTTGCTTGAAAAATAATAATATATTAGGGTCTTTCTAATCACTGTGGTGGGTCAATTTGACCCGAGGGTTGCACAATTTAAAGTACAGGTGCGCTTCATAGTCCAGAAAGTACTGTCTTTATTTATATAGTGCCTTTAAATATTATTCTAATGTGTCTTTACTTCAGCCGCCACCAGAAAGTGACTTCCTGGACTGGCTCAACAGGATCTGTGTCAGCATTGGACTCTTCTTCTTTGCTCTGGCCATTCTTACCTTCCTCCTCTGCAGCTGGAATCCCAAAATCAACAATACAGCCCGCCTCCATCTGTGCATCAACCTCGGCCTCTCCCATCTGCTCCTGCTGTTCAATGAGAGTTTCTTTGTCGACAAGGTAACGTGTTTAAAAAAAAAAATCAATACAAGAAAGGCAGTTCCTTCAGTGTGCAAACTGCTCCAAGTTTCTACTTCTCCTCAGACCCTTGAAAAATTGGTTTGGTCTTGAAAACATAATTTTTTTTTAGATGGTTTACCTTTTAGCTAAAAATCACATGGCACACCACCAGCTGAAACTGATACAAAAATGGAACTTTGAGCCTTTACTACCAATGCAAAGTATTTCTTGTGTATTATATAGAAATGTCACGCAAAAATGCCTTCCTAATCTGTTCACATTCTTTTAATTGTTCATCTTATCTTATCTTATTTGACCAATCAGGTGATATTGGATCATTCAAAAAATGGTCACTATCTGTGAAGTCATAATTATGCTAAAATTCAGAAATGGGGGAAAAAATACAAATTGTGGCCAAATGAACTTCTTGGAAATAAAATCAAATATAATACGATGGTTGTGCATTGACAGCTGGCATGTAAAGCGATCGCGGGCATCCTTCATTTCTTGGTGGTGTCAAGCTTCGTGTGGATGCTGTTGGAGGCAGTGCAGCTGTACATGCTGGTGCGCAGGCTCAATAAGGTGCAGGTGATCGAGAGAGATGGGCTCCCGCAGTATGTGCTCTACCCTGTGGGATACGGGGTCCCCGTGGTGGTCGTGGGCGTCTCTGCACTGGTCTATCACCCGGGATACGGAGGCACTGAAGCAGGGGCGTAAGTAACAAGTGGAGCTCTCATTCTTAGTTATACAGTACAACAAAGACACCACATTGTGTGCTAATGCATGCACAACGATTCTACTCTCACAGTGCCCCCTAGAGGTCATTATTAGCATTTTTAAATGTCATAGCTACAAAAACAACAATATGCATGCTGAAAATGGCACTGCATTTGCCATTTTTTGTGTGCCTTTGTTGGAGTCGATGGAATAAAGTGTAGAGTCATCCGGAATTTTTTTATCATGTATTACATTTTTGTAACCCTAACCCTAACCCATCTTCACATTCACTGATTAATCAAAAGTGGCTCAAATGTTTTGTTCTGGGATTGGAGAAATGAAAACAAAATATGCTGGAGTCTAAGCTAAATGCCTGTATTTTTTAATTATATTTTCAGCTGCTGGTTGACGACAACACGTGACTTCAACTGGGCTTTAACTGGACCAGTTATCACAATCCTGGCAGTACGTTTTTTATATATATATATATATATATATATACGCACTTACACACACACACACACAAGTACAAAACTTTTTTTTTTTCAAACTGGAAATATTGCCTTTAGTTCATCCACAGCACATATGCAGGCGGCCCTCTCCTTGGTATTGTGCTTGCATGCTGTGTACAGTTCCAAATAGGCAATGTCAATGAAATGTCATTGTCCGCTGTTGATTAAGAACAACATGTTGACTGTTCTCTTATACAGCGGTATATGAAAATAATATGTTCAACATTTCAAAGATCAATGACTCTGCAGGAAAGAGTTAGTTAATAACATAATAATGGGGGGGAAAGTAACCTGCCATGCCTTATTTACATGTAAAGCTCTTCTGAAGGTGAAAGTAGCAAGAAATACATCTCAAATATATTGGAAACAAAAAGGTTATGACACAGTTTACTAATTATTTACAGTTGTTTGTGTATCTTTTCAAATAGAACGACTGCAGCATTTATTTGAAGTAAAAGTTTGTGTGTGTGTTTTTTTTTCCTCAGTTGAACTTCATATTGTTTTGTATGACACTGTGGAGCCTGAGAACCACCTTGGCCAACATGAGGAAAGGTGCCTCTAATTCCAGAGATGCAAAGTTGGTGCTTTTTGACATTTATAAGCATGAATAAATCCATGCATATACACATGTCGCATTCTAACACTACTACGAATAATTTTCAGGCTGGTATTGTTCAAGATTGTGGCACAGTTTGTAATTCTGGGCTGCACCTGGATCCTGGGTTTGTTCCAGATAAACCTTTTCTTCCAAATCCTCTTCATCGTCCTCAACTCACAACAGGGAACGTTCCTGTACGTCGTCCACTGTCTGCTCAACAAAGAGGTATCAACCGTGTTTCTATTAGTTCTCCAAGTGGATTGCACAAAGTTAAGGATATACTTCTGCAACTACGTAATTTTATCCACAAAGACAATGCATTGTTTTGTGCAGATTCAGCAAGAATGTCTTAAATGTCTCTCGTGCTGTAACAATAAAAAAGAGGATGGCAAAACTGTAAGTAAGAATGAAAATGGTCCGACTTGGAACAATGCACTCACAAGATTTTTGCCCTCAGGACGGAGAATGGAAGACAGAAGATTAGGACACCAGTAGATAGATTATAGTCTATGTCTTGTTGTGTCTCCATAGCTATAATATTGGAATTAATTGAGATATGGTTGATGAATGTTATGGCATTTATTGAATTTCTAAAATAAAAAATTATGTACTCATTTAAGTTTGAAGATATAGTATGGATAGATCATTTTCATTCTTTTCTTAATCTATATTATATTTCAGGTCCAAGCTTTGTTGTCATTTTAATTTATTTGCATCATATTAATAAATTGTGTATCTAACTATGTGTGTTTTTTTCACCACCATCATTATCAACACTTATGTGGTGTATATGTGGTGTAGTGTGCTGCCTCTTATTTTTATCTTACAACATGTTTGCCTGCATTTACACAAAATAAATACTATGGACATAGGTTGACATCTTGGTGTGGTCTTTGTGAGCATGTTTTATCTTTTAAAAGTTGGTATAAAAAAAATCAGTTTCCATTTTTTATTTAGACAAGTGAGTAGCCCTTTACATTATCAGACAATAATTATATGGTAGACAAAAACTGGTATGGATGTGGACATATTCTGTGGTGGGTTTAGGATCCAGGTTCAGCTACAGCTATAGACAAGGGCAACATTTCTAATCGCTCACGTTGAAATGAATCATGGATTAATCATTTCACTGCACAGGCACAATTCACACACATTTGGCCGCAACAATCTTCAAATAACAATGGCTTTGGATAGTATGATCCTGAAATATACACTCTCCAGTTGGTCATTTTAGTCAATATAATGAAGTATAAGAACAAGACAAATGAAGAAGGCCAGATGTTTGAACCCAGTAAAATCAGTTCATGTTGTCGGTCCACTCTGTTTCCGACATTGCATCCGTTGGGTGTAAAGTTTGTTGAATTTATATTAGTTCATAAACAATTGTTTATTCAGTATATAGTGATGAAAGTGAAGTCAGCGGGCGCTATAGACAAACGAGGGAAATTAAATAACTAACAACACGTTAAAAATAACACAAAAAATAGTCACTATACAGTCCATAGTATACTATATACTCAAATATTTGCAACAACTACTATACACTATATACTATTCATTGTGTCCATTAGGCCTCTTATAAAACAATTTAGTATATTTGTCATGAAAGTATTGCCCCAGAAGTCACAGTGAATTATAGATACAAAATGTTTTATAAAACCTTGTGTTGCAAATTTTATGCTGCTGTTTAGTTTGCATAGTAAACATGATTATTTGCCTTTCGCAGAGCCTTGAGTCTGGAATTAGATGGCACAGTTTGAGGTTGTTTTCAGGTTGAAAATAAAGCCCGGTGACTCGCTGGGAATTGAAATGTTGTTTCAAATTGTTACATTAAGACTTCAAAAGTAACACTCTCTGGTTTGTTCAGACATCAATATACTGCTTGGAGCTGGAGGAGTACACAACCATATCATTTCTGGAGGTCAACATTACATTTACCGCATTTTTTTCATACAGTTTTTTGTTATTGTTGCTGTCAAAGCCACATTTAATATAATTTCGCAAAATAAATTACCCACTTATTTATTTTGGGGGGTTTGCATGTCATAATCAAAACTACAATCATTATAGTTTGTCCATATATTACCTAGCCAGTCAAAACTACGAATACAAACATTTTCTGACCTTTTTCCATTGAAAATGTTGGAGCAGTGCTTTAAATATGTGTTATGAGATAAGCTCAGCAGAGGTAAGCCTAGTGTGTGTGTATGTGTGTGTGTGTGTATTTTGAATAACTGGCTTGAGCACTAGGGGGAGCCAGTCTGTTTAAAATTCTAAGTGCGTCCTCCAAAGTCATCAGCTCCATGTTTTGAGACATTAGTTATTGAACCAGTGAACCGCGCACACCACCGGTCTGCACCTCAATTTAAGCATCTAATGAGCTGGAGAGAATGATATCAAACAGCTTAACCATAACTATTTGTTGACATATTGCTATTATGTGTAGATGGGACACAACCATAGACTACAACGCATATTTCAAGGGAGATTTTACTTTTACAAATGTATAAACAGGAAACAGGTCAATAACCCTGTAGGTAAATGCCAACAGTTATTACATCAGCGTATAGGGTTGCTCTAAATGCCTGACACGTCTTAACACTGCTTTCCAATTTAATAGATCGGAGAGACAGGAGGGGCTTGACAGCACATAGTAATACATTCCTGAATACTAATTTGTCATCTATTCATTGCCAGTGTTTCTAAATAATTCATATTCACTACATTGCCTGGGGCACAATAGTAGAGGCTGCATCCTGTGGTGTAAAGGTAGCCCTCTGCTGAGCTTCAATCACAGCAGCTTCAAAGGCCGAGCACAGGTGAGCGCGCACTCACAGATATCTATGTGTGGTTAGATACAATATTAGTATCTCCACATAGCAATGCAAGGTGTATTTTTAATGTAGAAGAACAGAATTTTGTGTGATAATATTTAAATGTCTGGATGGAAAAACAACAATAGAACAGTGTAATAAAGAAAATAGTGAAAATGGCAGGTTGTGTTTCAATTCCATTCCTAAATTGTGTCTATTAGTTGGCACATTTCTTTCCAGATTTGAAAGCTCATGTATATTATTGTTTGGAGTTTTCCTTACTGCTGAAGGAGGGTCTAAGGGCACTCATTTATAAGCCCTATTCCCATTTTTGTTTAATTTTCTGATCTGTTTATGGCGTATTTTGTGACAACTTCTGTTACTGTGATTTCGGTCTGTCCACAAAATACATTCAATAAATTGATATGAAAATTGTGTATTGCGCAGAAAGAGACCACCTATCTCCTGATTGGTTATTTGAATAATTGTAAATCCAAATATGGAAGTTATCTCCAAATTAGTCAGTTTCTTTCATTTCCTTTTTTATTTTTTCAAAAAGGTAAGCCTAAACTATTTTGTATTGAATTGTTCATCGCTGAAGCACCAAAAGCCCTAAAATGTCATAATTCTGACAGCGACACCCACAAACAGGCAAGGCAATTTCTCCCTGGAGTTGACGTCCACTTCCTTCTATAAGAGCGACTACATTTTGTTCTTTCATCTTTATCGAGCAAAAGTATAACTTCTAAATAATTCTCTTCACTGGATATTTGCGCTTCATAATATAGTATTTATCAAAAAGGCAGTGCTGCTTGACAATATAAATAACTCATGACAGACGCTGAAATTGGAGCATGCCGCTCTTAATTACAGTCTGTTGGTCTCTGGCTGAATGCTGCATCATTTCCACTCATTTTCTCATTTCAGCAGGATTTACCCCTTTATCACAGAGCTCAGTGACAGACAGGCTAAGCTTCTGTCAGGGTAATTACCTCATCTTCCCTCTATGTCTTTGTGGCTCATATTTTACAACTTCCATCTCAATCCATTAACCTTTTTTAAGAGGCCCTCGAGAGC